CAAAGTTGGCCAAAAACTCACCTTTTCCATACTTAGCCAAAAATTTTCCAGATTTTTTTTTAAAATCCTTTCCAAAAAAAGAAAAATTCCAATCCTAAGCCTCTTCAAAGCTATTTCAAATTGTCGGATGTTACAATGACAATAAAAGCCGAATTCTATTAACCACTCGGCTCAAGTATATTGCTGATTATGTCAGTTGTCCTGATTTTCCCCCTCATAGTAAGTCTTTTCTAAGTCTAGATGATAGTTGGAATCTATTCACTGAAAAAATATTCAAAAGAGATCCATGTCCTCCTCTACTTGTAAAAATAGGGAAGCATATTGTTCAACAATGTCAAGGATTACCTCTCTCGGTTATTGTCGTTGCTGGACTTCTTGGAAAAATCGACCCAATGCATAACAATTGGAAGATCGTTGGGGAAAATCTGAATTCATTCTTTGGTACGGTATCTGAACGGTGCCAATCAATTCTTTCTTTGAGCTATAAATACTTGCCCCAATATTTGAGGGCTTGTTTTCTTTATGTTGGAGGTTTTTCTAAAGATATGGAGATTGATGTTTCCAAGTTGATTAGGCTATGGATTGCTGAGCAATTCATAAAGGTAAGAAGCAATAAAAGGCTAGAAGTGGTGGCAGAGGAGTATCTACAAGAGTTAATTGATAGAAGTCTAATTTTGGTTGGTAAACAAAGGGCTAATGGAAGGATGAAAACTTGCAAAATTCACGATCTTCTTCGACAACTGTGCATAAGAGAAGCTCAAACTGACAATGGTTTGAATGTCATAAATGGGGATTTCGCCAAAGCCATATATTATAGTATGCAGCACAGCAGTCGTATAACTCGCACCTTTATTCCAATGCCATATTTTCGTTTAGTTTTTCCAAAAAGGATTTTCTCCATTGTTTCAGAGTTGAAGTTGCTTAAGGTGTTGGACGTATTATCAATTGAATGCGAATTCTCTTGTGTAATACCTGAGCTTGTGCATTTGAGATATGTTGCTGCAAGAATTGAGAAAGCTCTTTCACTAGCCAAATTGAGAAATCTACAGACCATAATTCTTCAAAGTCTTGAAGAGACGGAGTTGAAGCACCCCGTAGATATTTGGACAATGTCAGAGATAAGACATGTGGATATTGGATTGCCACTATATATATCTAATCCTCTTGATGCCGAAAATCATAGTAATGGAGAACATCCTTTGTTTCTCAATAACTTGCACACGCTTTATCTTCATTATTCTCCTTTTGTTGAGGAAATCATAACAAGAAGTCCCAATCTAAAAAAGCTAAAGATTACAGATAGATCTGAGCATCCTATTTTTGATTCTCTCAGTCTTCTACATGATTTGGAGACGCTACAGATAGCAACCTTTGACCCGATGATTTTCTCAGGAGATATTTTCCCTCCTAATCTAAAGAAATTGAAATTATCATACACTAGATTACCATGGGAAGTTGTGAATTTGCTTGCTAATTTACCCAGTCTTGAGGTGCTCAAAGGGAATGATGCATTCAAGGGAACAAATTGGAGACTAGATGAAGATGTTGTGTTTCGCAAATTAAAGCATTTAAAAATTGTAGCCGGAGATCTGCAAAGGTGGGAAGCTGGTAGTGATAATTTTCCTATGCTTGAGCAACTAATACTGCATCAGTTGCGTGATCTGGAGGAGATTCCCGAGAGTATTGGAGATATAATGACACTAAAATTCATCCAAATAAACTGTTGCGGCTCTGGTGTAGACACTAGTGCAACGAAAATTCAAGAAGAGCAACAAAGCTTAGAAAATTATGAGCTTCAAGTTCAAATTACTCCTATGGTATGTTCATTTCCATCTTTCATTATTAGTCAATTCTTAATTAATATGTTCATGTGCTCTTTCTATAGAAGAGTAATATTTTTTGTTATTTCGAAGTTTACTCAAAAGGGTCCACATTTTTTCAACAGCCCGACTTAGCTCGAGCTACTACACCTGTTGCTTGGAACAGGTAATGTATAACCCTCATTTTTTCTGAAAATTATCATGGATTTTCTTTGTTTAGCTTCAAACTCTGTTTGAGATTGTTTGAATTCAATCTAAAAGAAGCTATTGGAAGTGATTTGCTATGTTATGTTATGCTGGTAACTGGGGAAATTATTGGGCAGATATACTAAAATAAGATTCAAAATGTATACTCAGAAGAGAGATAAAATTAAGATTGAAGATATATGTGACAAGGCAGAAGGTGCGTAGGTAATTGATTGCTGACTCGCTATCCTGTGGATAGGCTTGGTGGTAGTTTGGTACAGAGTACTTTTTTCTCTGTTCATACCAGTAGTAGTAATATTATTCTCATAGTTTCTTGTCCTACGATTTTTGTTACTCCCCGTGTTTCATGTGCTTTGGTTATCACATCATTACTTAATTTGCTCGGGCAGTTTCTTCCGGACTAGGAACCCTCTCTACTACATGAAGCCCTGGAGTACTTAAGAAGTAGAAATTATAGATCTGAAACCTCTGCTTAAATGTCTCCATGAAAATAGATAGTAAGTGAATATTGAAGCATCGATATGATTACTTACACCGGAGTGTCAAAGCCAGATGAAGAGTCCAGGCATTAGAGATGTTGTATGATCAAGAGAAGCAAAACGAATGAGGCTTGCTAAGCTGTACGCCCCAATTGCTTACAACATGTCTTGAACCGTCGACCAATATAATTGGTTAGAGGCGGAGGTGTTTCACCAACTGAGCAAGCATCACTCGTCTTGCCAAATATATTTTATATATAAAGTATAATGTTTAGTTGTATAGTTTATTCCTATTTTTGAACGGTTTTCAAACAATTTTTGCAGCTGGGATAAGAAGCCTTTACGGAATAGGGAGACAGTGAAGGTGCCACTTGTTAGGCGCGTGATTGAGGTGTCTCGTAGAGCTTCGAAGCTTTTAAAACGTACCCTAATGGGGTTTGGAAAAGATCGCCCTATGTAAATTGCAGTGTACTGTTTTTAACTATTTCAGTTAGTTTTATAATCATGTAAGAAATATATATATGTTTTGCTTGAAAATATCTTCACATAATTAAATATATATAGATAGTACATTGATTATACACATATTGAACATGGATTATACGTATATTGTATATCCGTCGGCTATTTTTAGTCTAATCAGTTTGATGGACGGATATATAGGTTAATTATTCGTATCTTTCTTCACCTATTTCTGAATTAGATATACACCTCTTTGTTTATTTGCACTACCATTTTCTTCCCCCTCTCCCTCTATTTGTTTTTCATTTTATTTTTCTTTTATCTTTTATGGTTAAAATGTAAAAGTTACACCTAAATTATGCGAAATAGATTAATTTTGAACTATGATCAATTCTTTCATCGAGACTTAATTCAAATCACGGTGATATTTTCTTGTTCCTGAATGGGTATGATTCAAATTGTAAACTCACCATAGAAAAAGGTGTAGATGAGCAAAAGTCACTTGACTGTAACGAGAGGAGCTCTAGCTTACTCTACTTCCACTGCCGCCTTTACTGTTTTGGCATACATATTTTACTCGACTTTAAGTTTGGGTGGTATAAGTAGACACTTTTAACTTGTATAAAATTGAACAAATAGATACATGTGTCCTATGTGGCGTCCTACATGAAGATTTATGTCCTACGTGGAGTTCTACATGTATTATGCCATGTAGAACACATGCGTCTTCTTCTTCAAATTTTTATACAAGTTTAAGTGTCTACTTGTGCACACCCAAAATTAAAGAACATAGATGTCAACTGAAGCCAAGTTAAAAGAGTATTATGAGGTTTGATTAACCATGAAGTAGTGTAAACTGGCTGCATTGTGCCATCATTAGTCAACAAACCCATTAGCAATCCATCAATTGCTTAATTAAAGATAATGATAGTAAAAGTTTAGTGCACTACACCTTATCTCACAATTATATAATACAATTAGTAAAAGTTAGTGCACTACACCTTATCTCACAATTATATAATACAAAAAGAGATGCCCCATTGAGAATATAGTACTATTAATTAAGTGAAATAATTTGATTTACTTGTTGTATTAGATTGTGTTCTCATTTGTCAATGGAAATCCATCATCTCTTGTAATTAAACAAATGATAAAAGTAAGTACACTAATCTTTGTCCCCCATTTAAAAAAAGTTGGAAATAAAAAAAAGTAAATCATTTGGACAAAACCTCTTAGCCTAATAATAAGAAAGTAAATTATTCCAGCAAACTGCAATAATTTTTTTGTTAAGAGAAATGGCTTATGCTGCTCTTTCTTCACTTCTGTATACATTGGAACAACTATTCAAACCTAATCAATCTTTCGTTTGTCGAAGCTACACGCAACATGTTCAATCTCTCTATCAAAATCTTTCTGCTCTGCAAGATCTCCTTGACGATACTACAAAGGATATTGAAACTCTTAAGGTATGTAATTCACTAGTATAGTTATCTAAATCTTACTGATTTTTTATATTTTTTTCAATAATAATTAATTTACCGAGTTTCAATTTCAAGGTTATAGAAAAGAGGATCAGAAATGTAGTATACAAAGCGGAATATAAAGTTGATTTATGGCTACGAAGGATCATTCTAGCAGATCGTGAGGACAAGCGGGAAAAGGCTTATACATCCTTTTATGAAGAATTGTTGAAAGTGAAAGGACAAGTTTATTTTCTCCACAAAGAGGTGATGCAGATTAATGTTAAAAAGCATGGAAGCAAATCTGCAGAATCAGCAACAACTACCTACTCACCAGAAAAAAGTACAATTGAGGGAAATACTATTTTTGGGATGGAGGATGACTTCAACATCATACTTGATCGCGTCACTGCCCAAACAGACGAGTTAACTGTCATACCAATTTTTGGTATGGGCGGTATCGGTAAGACAACTCTTGCCAGAAAAGTTTATGATGATTCATCTATTTGTTCTCGATTTGATAAACATGCATGGGTCACTATCTCCCAAGAATACAATCAGAGACAAATGCTTCTTGAAGTTGCATCTTCAATTACCGGAAGCAATCAAGAAATGAGCGACGATGAACTAATGGAGATTGTGTATAGAGGTCTGAAGGGTAGGAGATTCCTAATTGTCATAGATGATATTTGGAGTACTGAGGCATGGGACCAAATGCAAAGAATATTTCCAAATGATGACAATAAAAGCCGAATTCTATTAACCACTCGGCTCAAGTATGTTGCTGATTATGTCAACTGCCTTGATTTTCCACCTCATAGTAAGTCCTTTCTAAGTCTAGATGATAGTTGGAATCTATTCACCGAAAAATTATTCAAAAATGATCACTGTCCTCCTCTTCTAGAAGAAATAGGGAAGCATATTGTACAACAATGTCAAGGATTACCTCTCTCAGTGGCTGTCGTTGCTGGACTTCTTGGGAAAATGGACCCAACACAGGATAATTGGAAGAAGGTTGAGGAAAATCTGAACTCATTCTTTGGTACGGTGTCTGAACGGTGCCAATCAATTCTTTCTCTGAGCTGCAATTACTTGCCCCAATATTTGAAGGCTTGTTTTCTCTATGTTGGAGGTTTTCCAGAAGACACAGAGATTAATGTTTCCAAGTTGATTAGGCTATGGATTGCTGAGCATTTCGTAAAGGCAAGAAAGGATAAAAGATTAGAAGTGGTGGCAAAGGAGTATCTACAAGAGTTAATTGATAGAAGTCTGATTTTGACTGGTAGACAAAGGGCTAATGGAAGGATGAGAACTTGCAAAATTCATGATCTTCTTCGCCAAATGTGCCTAAGTGAAACTCATACTGAAAATGTTGTGCATGTCATGAATGGGAATGTCCTTGTGTCCTTATTAAAAGTAATAGATGATCAGCGGCGAGTGATAGGTCTGTGTAAACATAAAGAGAAGCAAGTTTATCCTACAATGCATAGCAATTGTATAACAAGTATAGCTCGTACCTTTATTTCAATGCCATTTTTTTACCACCCCGGTTTTCCAGAAAGGATTTGTTCCATTGTTTCAGAATTCAAGTTGCTTAAGGTGTTGGACGTATTATCAGTTTGGTACGATTTCTCTAGTGTAATACCTGAGCTTGTACATTTGAGATATGTTGCTGCAAGAATTGAGAAAGCTGTTTCACTAGACAAATTGAGAAATCTACAGACCATAATTCTTCCAACAGAAATCATTATCAACAGACCAAGAGAGTTGGAGCAGCCAGTAGATATCTGGACAATGTCAGAGCTAAGATATTTGGCTATCAGATCGCCACTATATATATCTAATCCTCTTGAGGCAGAAAATGATAGTATTGGAGAGCAACCTTTGTTTCTCAATAACTTGCAAAAGCTAATACTATATAAGTCTCCTTTTATAGCGGAAATCATAAGAAGAACTCCGAATCTAAAAAAGCTGAATCTTTTTGATGATTCTGAGCATTCTGAGTGGCCTGCAATTCTTGATTCTCTAATTCTTTTAGAGGAGCTGGAGACGCTACTCATATCGCTGGAGAGCATTGACCTGAACATTTTCTCTGGAGATATTTTGCCTTGTAAAATCAAGAAAATGACGTTAAGTTCTAATATCAAGAAATTGATATTAGAAGGTACTTATATACCATGGGAAGTGGTGAATTTGCTGGCTAATTTACCCAATCTTGAGGTGCTCAAAGGGTATCGTGCATTCGCTGGAACAGATTGGAAAGTAGATAAAGATGTTATGTTTCACAAATTAAAATATCTACAAATTGGTGGCAAAGGTCTGGTAAGGTGGCAAGGATGTAGAAATAAACAATTCGTAGGTCTGGAAAGGTGGGAATTAGCAGATGGTAGTGATAATTTTCCAATGCTTGAGCAACTATTACTGCATGGGTTGGATGAATTGGAGGAGATTCCTGAGAGTGTCGGAGATATAATGACACTAAAATTCATCCAAATAAACTATTGCAGCTCTAGTGTAGTAAATAGTGCAAAGAGAATTCAACAAGAGCAAGATAGCTTGGGAAATTATGAGCTTCAACTTCAAATTACTCCAAAGGTATCTTCATTTCCAGTTATGTGACACTTTTCCGATTTCGAAATTCAAACAAGTCTATTTTTTTACCGTAAATTTTTCATATATCTTTTAATTATTGTGACTTATAGTACTTTTTACGTAGTTTCAAATATATAAATTTCACTTCAAAAAAATTAAAGATTTCACGCTCAAATTTCTGATCAAACTTAAACGGTTTGACTCTCAAAAAACGAAAAGTACCACATAAATTGAGACAAAGGGAGTATAATTGTCACGACCCGATTTCTCAAGTCATGATGACACCTACTATAACCCACCAGTGGGTAAGCCAACCCATAACTCGGAACAACAAGTAATGGGTCTGAGGGTAGAAACTAAACAAGAGTAGGCAAATAACAATATAAACAGGCGGAAGCAAACCAAAAAACATATATACAAATAAAGATCCCTCCCAGAACCTGGAAATCACAAGTACAGAGCTACTAACAAAATGAGTACAAGTCCCAAAAGTGGACAACAGAGACTGGACTGTCTCGAAAGGTAAAAGACAAGTCTATATATACAGATGGAGACTGAAATAGTACAAAACGTCGTGTGCTCACTCCCGTCTCCGGATCAGACTGCTCCAACTCGATCAACGCTGGCTACTAGTGCCCGGACCTGCATCACGAAATAGATGCAGAGCGTAGCATGAGTACCAAAACAACCGGTACCCAGTAGGCATCATAGGCCGACTGAACTTGAAAAGTAAAGGCAATATGAAAAGAAGGAATAACACAAACCGAAGTCAAGAACTAAAATCTAACTAACAAGGGAATGCACACGAGTGTACAAAGAACTAACTAAAGTAATCTATAAGCTAACTACCTAACTGGGCCCCCATAAGCCCAGAAGGTACACTCGTGCGCAAGTTAAATAAAAACCCGAACGGACCCCCATAAGCCCGACGAGTACACAGAATAACTAAAACTAAAGAGAATTGTATAAAAGAACCCAAGAACGAAGAACATCGAACCAGAACCTCAACCCTAATTAGTAGAATCTGACAGTACGGAAGCCGGACCTCGAACCGGATGCTCACAAGAAATATCCAAGTAATCAATCACAAATATCAAGTATATGAGGCCGGAACTCTAACCGGATGTCTATATAAGTATCTGGGAAATAGAGGCCGGACCTTAAACCGGATGCTCTATATAAGTATCTGGGAAATAGAGGCCGGACCTTAAACCGGATGCTCTATATAAGTGCCAATGTAGTGCTGAAAGAGTCCTAATCGATCCACACTCATAAATGTCCATGGAACGCCGTCCATACTTAGCCAATCAATGTAATCCTTGGAACCAAATCAAAAATCAAATTCAAATCGCGAAGTAGAACTAGTGTCGCCGATGTAACTCGTGAAGCCGTAACATCGGGAAAAATAAGGGATAACTATAGTCGGAGAAAGAGTATCGCCTAACTAAGACCCAAACTATCAGACTCAAGTCTGCTACACCAGTCTACAGGGATCTAAGCCGGCCGAGCGACGTCGGGGCAAAACTAAGGCCTATTGGATCCGAATAATGTATTTCTAAGGCAAGCCCTAGTCAAACCTAAACTAAGGCCCAACATTCTTCAAATAACAATAATTAAGCATGCAAGCACTCCACATATCGAGGAGGATCCGTTAAAAACACAAAGCATGCTCACAGTTACTCGATAATTCTCGAAATAGGCCGAAAACATGATTTCTTAACACCTATGCAAGATTCAATAACTACCCAACCCAAATCCCAACTAATCAACATGCATTCACATTCTCGAGCTCAATCTAAGAGAGGAAAACCGTAGCCTACCTGTAGGCCGTCACACGCGCTCCAAAATCACTCCTTCGGAGCTTTCTCTTTATGAACGGTCTCGAAACGCTTCCCCGCTATCAAAAATAGTATCACAACGTTAAAATACGGTCGTTTAGACACCAAAATCACAACAAACAGAGACGGGTCAATTTTGGAGTCAAAACGGGAATCGTGGGACCCGCGCAGGAAATTCCGAAATTAACCCCAAAAGTGGGTCCTAACCAGTTCCCCCAGCTCATGTCCCAAAATGGGACACAATTCGGGGCTCGGGAACAACACAATATCAACAAGCAACTAAAACCCAATTTTTCTCAAAAGAATAGAAATGGGACAGCAGCTAATTCAGCGTTTTTACCAAAAACGGGCGATCTACAGTAAAATCTAACAACACCACAATGTTCTCCTCGAAAAACCACTCAAGATAGCCTCAAAATCACCAAAATCGGATCTAAAATGGCTAAGAAAACAACTCTCAAAAATTTCCAAAATCAAGCTCACAAAAGGGGTCTGGCAGCAGGTATTTTTCGAAAATTACCTCAAACGGGGACTCCAAATCACTATTCGAGATCACCAACGCGTTGTCCTCGAAAAATCTCACAACTTAGCCTTTTGGATCACCCAAATTGGTTGAGAGATGAGGGTTTGAAATTTGAGAAATGTTGCTGATTTTCTGCAAATCTGCAACATTTCCAAAACTTAAAATCCCGACGGGGTGCTCCGAACTCGTTCGGAACCCCGTGCACGCAAACGAGATATGCAACCATACCAAATTCGATATTCCAGACTCAACAGCGCAGTCAAAATTTCCATCAGAGGTCATTTCGATAAAAAGTGGGTCCCACTTCCAAAAGCCCTTTTAAGTCAAAACCCACAAAATGGCTCGGAAAGATATCTAAAACCTCCAGTCACAAAAGAAAGGTCAATCTAGACTAAACTCGACATTTCGGAGCTAACCACGCTGACGGAATACTCATCCGAGCGCGTTTACTCAGAATGTTGACCAAAGTCAAACTTAGGCTTAAACTTAAAGTTAAAACGCCTAATCGCACCGACTCACACTGAAAACCTCGGGAGTCATGTCGACCATGCTACTAGCCTAAAATGACCCTTCCGGAGCTGATAAAATCGTTAGAATTGGATTCCGATGTCATCTTCTTGAACTTTTGATCGAAAATTATCGTTCAAGGTTCATAAGCTCCAAAACACAAAAACTCACACCAAGACCAAACGAACGACCAGGTGACCGAACTGTCAGTCCCAGCAAGTCATAAATGACTTGGGGTCGCTAAAGGAACGCTCTAAACGACACACAGAAGGCAAGACACAGAAATGACCAAGAGGGTCATTACAATAATTCACTTTTCATATATATTGCAGATTTATCATAATATTGTTATATATATTGCTATAAATGGAAGTAATAAATAAAAGGGGAAAAAGACAAATATACCTCAAACTATCATAAATGATATATCAATATCCTCCGTTATACTTTAAGGTCGTATGTACCCTTACCGTCATTCTTTTGGGTTGTATATATCCTTGAAGTTAATGGATGGGCACGTGGCTTCATCTAATGATTTACCCCATTTATTTATTTTTTACCCAAAAATTAAAAATTCACCCGACCCACAACCAAAATGGGTGGTGTCAAAATCCACTCTTCAATTTCATCAAAAACCATCAATCTATTCTTCTCAACCCACCATGACCACGGAATCAAGAACTCATCTTTCAAGAACGAAGATGACTTGTTCACTAAATATGCTCTCTTCTTCACTTTCACTTTAAACTTTGTATCTTCTTCATTCCATCCAACTTCAACATGTAACATTCCCTTCAAGTTCTGTCAATTTGGTGTCTTTCGAATTCTTTAAAACTGTAGACTTTATGCTTGCTAACAAAAAAAAAAACACTTCATCTTCATTTAGCTTAGTAGGAATTTAGGTTATTGGGTGTTTTGTACATTATCTATTTCAAGAATATTTTCAATCTCTTTCAACAGTAAACAAATCGATTTGAACTGGAAATTTTTTATTTGATTGTAGACTAACTTTAAACCTTGAAACTTTGTCCATTAATGGTGATAGTATTTTCTCAACCCCTTTCAACAATAACAAATCGATTTGAGCTTGAAACTGTCGATTAGATTGTAGACCCACTTTAAAGCTTGAAGTTTTGTCCATCAATGGTGGTAGTATTTTCTCAACTCCTTTTAATAAAAATAAATCAATTTGAGTTTGAAATTTTCGATTTGATTGTCGACCCATTTTTAAGCTTGAAGCTTTGTCCATCAATGATAATATTGTTTCCAACCCCTTTCAACAATAATAAATTGATTTGAACAAAAAAAAAAATGAAATTGATTGAAATAATATGCTTATGTGTTTTTGTTTGTGAGATTTGGAGAAAGGTGCCAATGAAAATGAATTGAAGAATATTTTTCCTTTTATTTGATATTTAGTGGAGATGAACAACTATGTTTTTATTTTAAATTTTAAATCAGCGGCGAGTGATAGGTCTGTGTAACCATGAAGAGAAGCAAGTTTATCCTCCAATGCATAGCAATTGTACAGCAAGTATAGTTCGTACCTTTATTTCAATGCAATTTTTTTATTACCCTGGTTTTCCAGAAAGGATTTGTTCCATTGTTTCAGAGTTCAAGCTACTTAAGGTGTTGGACGTATTAACAGTTTGGTACGATTTCTCTGGTGTAATACCTCAACTTGTACATTTGAAATATGTTGCTGCAAAAATTAAGGGAAGTCTTTCACTAGCCAAATTAAGAAATCTACAGACCATAATTCTTCGAACTCTTGAAAGGAAAGAGTTGGAGCAGCCAGTAGATATCTGGAGAATGTCAGAGCTAAGACATTTGGATATCAGATCGTCACTATATATATCTAATCCGCTTGAAGCAGAAAATCCTTTGTTTCTCAACAACTTGCAAAATCTTTATCTCTATAACTCTCCTTTTATTGCGGAAATCATAAGAAGAACTCCCAATCTAAAAAAGCTAAAGTTTATAGATGATTCTGAGCATTCTGAGTGGCCTGCAATTCTTGATTCTCTAATTCTTCTGGAGGAGCTGGAGACGCTACTCATAACGCGGAAGACTATTGATGTGAACATTTTCTCTGGAGATATTTTGCCTTGTAAAATCAAGAAAATGACATTAAGTTCTAATATCAAGAAATTGATATTATCAGGCACTCGTATACCATGGGAAGTTGTGAATTTGCTGGCTAATTTACCCAATCTTGAGGTGCTCAAAGGGCATCGTGCATTCGATGGAACAGATTGGAAAGTAAATGAAGATGTTGTGTTTCATAAATTAAAATATCTACAAATTGTTGACATAGGTCTGGAAAGGTGGGAATTAGCAGCTGGTAGTGATAATTTTCCTATGCTTGAGCGACTAATACTTTATTGGTTGCATACATTGGAGGAGATTCCGGAGAGTATTGGAGATATAATGACACTAAAATTCATCCAAATAAAATGGTGCGGCTCTGGTGTAATAAATAGTGCAAAGAGAATTCAACAAGAGCAAGAGAGCTTGGGAAATTATGAGCTTCAATTTCAAATTACTCCAAAGGTATCTTCATTTCCGGCTAAAAAGGCTGGACGTATCAAAGGAACATTTTATTAACACCCTGTTTGGATGGTTGTTATCTATTGTATTGTATTGTATTGTTTAAATATAATATTTGTTTTGATTGTTACTTAATTTTATTGTATTGTATCATTTAAATTCATCATTAGGTAACACGACGAAAAGACTCATTTTGTGTAATGGCTGATTTGGTGTAAGCGCGTCGTTACCTTAATATTTTCTCCTCATTTTGTCTCTACTTATATTTAGTAATTCTATTTTATCCTATATGTAACGATGAAAAGACCTGTCACGCTCCGAGCCTACACCCTGGACGTGGCCGGCACTCGAGAACCATTGCTGGTCCCCAAGCGAACCCTTGGCCTGACTCAATACTCAGCGGAAAACTTACTCAACAATATATGAACTCAAAAGTCTCAAAGTAAATAACTCAGAATATTTAGAAAAAAAAAATCAACTGGCCAAAAAAGACTACTCAAGTCTTGAACATTAACAATTGAATATGGAAAAGACTTCTCAAAACACTACTGTCTACGAAGCCTCTAATAACTATGAGGGAAGTCGGGACTTGAAAGTAGATGTGGAACCCTCCGAAGCAAGGAGGCTCACCAAAACAACTCTGAAACTGCAAGTGGTATCAATGTAGTGCCTGTTGATGAACCTGATTACTTGTATCTGCATCATAAAAGATGTAGGCCAAATGACGTCAATACATGGAATGTATGAGCATGCAACTCTAAAGCATAGACATAAGCTTGAACTGATAAAAAGGAAGAACATACTCACATCGTCTCAACTCAACTCAACTCAATTCAAGGATACTCAAAGATGCTCAAACTCAGAAATACTCAACTCAGTTTAATATAAAAGCAACAATAAAAATGCAGTATAATTTTTTTTAAAAATATTAGATAATAACTCAATTTATTTAAAATACAATAATAACTTTTTTAATCTTATTTGAAAGATTCTCTAACCGACAACCATCACTATGAGCTATGTGATGATACAACGTCTCTCCCACGCTGTCAGAATTGTCATATACCTTGCTAGAGTATAAGCCATCCTCAACTAAGTGGATCCACTAAGCTATGCTTAAAAGCAATAAGGAATCATCTAAAAATATGACTCATTACCCATGTTGGCATACATGGTTTATGAGGACTTTGAGTTGTCTGAACTCGTCCTCATATCAGTTCTCAATACTACTTCCAATAATATAACTCATGTTCATATGTTTAAAAACATTTCCTCATCCTCAAACTTTGAGATTATTACTCAAAAGGTTCTCTTAAAAGAGATAGTGCTCAAAAACTCCTCATGAACTCATTTGGAAATCAAAGTTACCTCTCATTTTAAATGTAAAACATTTACTCTTGAGAATACTTAGTTTCCTTATATTCATTTTGAAAACATGAACTCAACTCTCCTCATCCTCATGCTCAAGTACTCAAGTCTTAAAACAAGTACTCAAAAGACTCTCTTAAACTTGACTCTTAATCTTTTCTTGAATTTGAAATGTGAATTCAAGAGTTATGATTCATGATATATAAGATCTCTCGATGATTAATGAAGGTTTAAATAGTTAGGCTTAAGAAGGGAATGAAAGCTCGATTCGAAGGAACAAGTACGGATTGAAGAACGGAGATGAATGTGGACTGACGCTCCTGGTGCATCCTTGGCACGTTGCGTCAGCCCTCCCTTTACTGGGGATGGTTTGTGGCGCACTGCATGCGCAGGGTGCCAGCCCTCCTGGTGCATCTAGGGTGCGCTGCCCCAACCCATTCCCAGAAAATTCCGACAAATTTTTCTTATCGATTTTTGCCCCTAATTCACCTAGAATCGATTGATTTCTTCCAAACTCTCTTAGATTCGTAAACCCAACATAAATAAACGAAAATCTACTCAATTTTCTCAAGAACAACCCTCAAACTCAAAACTCTCGCCTCTAGAACTCATCAAACTCCATTAATAACGAATGAAGAACAAAACCTCAAGAAAACTCATCAAGAATTCAATACCGGATTTTCACGGACGAATTTAATAAAGAACTCATGATTTCTGTGAGGGTGGACGAACCCATCACTCTGAAATCTTGCATACCTCGAAAGAATCAAATTCTTTGCGAAAATCCTCAAAGATCGCACAAAATCTTGAACACTTGAAGCTTTTCTCCCTTTCCTCCTCTTAAACTTTGCTTTATCCATACACTTTTAGACTTTAGCGTAAACTGATTTTAATCAAGTGGACTTAGTGGGTTAAGGAAAAGACCAAAATAGTCCTCCTTAATTCGGATGAATTTCCTTAACTGGACATGCTGAACTCAAACGGGCATATCTCTGTCATCCGAATTCAGAATTTAGCAAACTCGGTGGTGTTGGAAAGAGGACTCAAAGATCTTTCATTTGATATCTCATGAACCGCCTAACTCATTATGTGCTGAAAGTTATGGTCGTTTGAATTTGACCTAAAACTCACAATTGAAAACTAACTTGAACAAATCTCAAATTAGCTATTTTCCATCTAGATCTGTCTAAAATTAGCTATTTTTAAGACCGAGATGTTACAAGACCCATCCTATATGTATTATGCATGTGTATCTATTTATTCAATCCTCTTGAACACACTCGTAAATACTCACGAAACCAAATTAAAAAAACATATGTATTGATGTATCATGCCTAAGTAAAAATTTGAAATCATATCATGTGTCAAACAAAAGTACTAAAACGAGTCAAAGGCAAACAAAAGAAGCAAATTAATGAATGGACAGAGTAGCTCCACGTAAAGCACCACAAAATCTCTCATTCTCATATCAACTTTCAAACACCCCTTAATTACTCCTAATATTTCTTTAAAAACATATAGTAATACATATATAGTTATTTAAAATAAAACTTGGACGATAAATAAATAATTTAATTTTGAGATAATATATTTAGATATTTTAGTTTAATAATTCCAATTAAATATGACTTAACCTCATAAAATTACGAGTCTGTTTATTTATTATCCTTTTTTTTCCTCCATTTTCATCTGTAATACCCTTCCTACTTGTCGTATCTTTTTGTGATCCAACCCTCTATGGAAAATATACACTCCAAAGGTATTTCTTGTTAAAAAAAAAGTTTTTAATTTTGTTAATTTTGTGGTGTATTTCTCAATTAGTTTTGGGAATTGTGCAGAAGGAAGGACGGATGAAGAAAGAGAAGGGTACTTGAAGGAAGCTGGTGATAATTATAATCCCTCAAATACTGCTTCTGATTATATACTTCCACATCTTCTCAATTTGTGAGTTTTACTCCCAATTTAATGTTTTCTTTTTACTTTCTCCTATTACTAGGTTTTTGATTTTTTCATTCATCATCAGGTATGTTGTAGCAATCAGTTAGGTGACGGAATCAGAAGTTTTACACACAATAAAAATTACTTGCATACAGAGGCGGAGCTAGGTAGGGGTTTATGGGTTGAACGAACCCACTAGTTTTTTAATAGAGGTATTAGAAAATTAAATAAATACATATGTATATTAACTTGTAAACCCCTTACAAAATCGATACACAACTCAGTGGTAGGGAAGGGGCGGTGGATGCCTTTCATACTAGTGTTGTGGGGTTCAAACTCTACCATCAATCTTCTATCCTAAATTAATTTAGAACCCCAAACTCCTAATTCTAGTTCCGCCTCTCCTTCCATATCGAATACAAGAAAATATTTTTCAACAATTTTGATCCAATAAACCTGAGAAAATCTGAAAATATTTTCTGGAAAATGCTTTCCTCCACCCTTAACATAAAAAAAGTAATTTTAATCATGTTAGCAACTTTAGGTTAAGAAGAATTCAACTTAGTCCCCTCAGTTTCTTGCTAGTTTTACTTTAGGTTCAATGTTTGCTAGAAGTCTTTTAGTCTTGTCACAGACTCATATGCTAGTAGAATGTTGAGTACTTGTAGCACTTAGAAACTACAATTTTATAATATCGGATCGAGACAGGCTTAAATAAAGTGATATAGATAATGAGAATTCATATAGTCGATATCCAACTTGTTTGGAACAGAGACACAGTTGTTGTCTTAGTGATATCTGTTAATCAGTAGCTTATTAGTTAATGGGTCATTATTTACAGTAATTATGCTCACAAGCTTTCTGCAAATAAATTTCAGATATGCATCGCGAGCCAAGGCACAAGATTTTGAGATTTATGCTCCAAATGCAACGTTTGAAGATCCCCTTATGCGTGCAGAGGGGTATGCTTAACTTGTCTATCTAATGGTAGCCTTGTTTAGTAGTAGTGAAAAAATGTTACACTTTCGACAAGTGCCTTCAATTGATCATGCTGAATAAGAGCAAGAATTGAACATTTTTTACGTGCTTTGGCTGCAGAATTTCTCAGTGCAATCATTTTATATGATAAAGAAGATAACGGAAAACAATTTAGTCTCCACACCTAGTGATTCTGAAATTTGAAAATCAAGCACTTCTGTATTTCTGAATCAGAAGTAACTCGAGTCTGACCTTTTTATGCTTTACTGAAGTTTACAAAATAAATCATCATCGATGTGGGCTTATCCTTTTAATAGGTGGGATTTAGTCCCTTTATAAGAGAAATGAAGCCTGAATTGGCTTTCTACAACATTCTTGTTATATTAGAAATGAGGAGCAAAAAAGAAACCAATTTCAGTTGTAAACGACTCTGTCATGCTTTTTTAGTATTTTGTCTTGGTTTTTTCACTCCCGTTGGTTTCTTTTTTCCAAACTACTTTATAATGCTTTACTTAAGCCGAGCATCTATCAAAAACAACCTCTTTACCTCCCAAGGTAGGGGTTAGGTCTATGTACACACTACTCTCCCGAGACCCTAGACTCCAGTTGTGGGATTACACTGAGTATGTTGTTGGTTGATTGAATTGAGAGGGTCTAAGTAAAAATTCTGAGTAGTGCTTGCTTTGTGTTTTCTGACTTTCACACGTCTAGTAATTAGCCCGTTCCTTTCAATTATACTTCATTCATAATAAGCCACTTTTGTAATCCTCTATATTAGTAAGGCTGACTATGAATTTTACTGTTGAATGCAGGGTAAAGCAGATAAAATCGTCATTTTATTCGCTCGGGAAGGTCTAAATAATTTTCCTTCTTGCTTAGTGTCCTATTTCATACTAGTCTCCTACTATGCTTGATTGATACACTTTATTGTGGAAAGAAAAAGAAAAAGAAATAGGCAAGAACTTTTGGGAAATCGCATTGGGCGATGCAGTTTTAAAATAAGTTCTGCTTCTAACATATGGATATCATAATTTTGTTCTTGAAACTCATTTCTCGAAATATACATCACAAAAATATCTAAGGTTCCCAGCATAATCTCCGTTGTATGTTGAGTGACTGTAACTACTATGGTTTACGTCAATAGTTCTTAGCCAATCCTTTCTTCTTAAAGTTAATTAATTTATTACTATATTATGTCTTTTTTAGGCTTGGATTGTTGTGTATGAATAATTTCAAACTGTTGCTTTTTGTACATTTCAGGTCTTCAGTGAGTCAAGAATCGTGGAGTACAACGTCACAGAGAAAGAAATTTCCCCTGGAAATAAAGAGGTTTAAGATACCTCCATCCTATTGCGTCTTCTTTTCGCTTTGTTTATTCTCTGCTTTCAGACTCTGATATTAAGGCTGATGGCTTCAGATTTTAATTGACAACAAACAATATTACAAGTTCTTGGGGAAAGACATTCATATGATATCACTAATCAAGTTGTACACGGAAGGAGGAAAGGTTGTTCGTCATGAAGACTGGTACGTATATATTTTACATCAAGAATACTTGTTGAATTTGTAGTTCAACAAGGAAAATGTTAAGCATTTCTCTTGGTTTCTTGCCATTACATCCTAACATTATTTTTCAGTTTGTATAAATGTAAGAGGCAAGTAACACTTTGTTCTGCCATAGTGTACTTTTTTAAGTATGTTCAAAATCTGTGCAACTTCACATGTTCGATAAACTTAATCCTTAAGTCGCACAAATTTATTTTACTTGGTCTAGGGCTCTAGATAAACAGGGTTGGTTAATGCCACTTTGAGCTATATCAGTGTTCTTGTCGAATGACATATAAGTTTGCCAAAAGATGTTTCATTTTTCTTTGCAAAACAAGTTAGGCTTACTAAGTTGTGGCTCCCTCATTGCTATAATGAGACTTGAACCCCCCCTCGACCAACTAGCTAAAGGAAAAGGAGTCTCATGAATTGAGCAAGCCTCACTCGTCTTGCCAAAATATACTCTCTTTTATAATGTTGTGTGTACTCGTCACATTTTGCAAAAGATGTTTCTTTTTGGCAAAACTAATGAGGCATGCTAAGCTGTCTCCCCCATTGCTTCAGCATGACTTGAACCTCGACCAATATAATTGGTTAGAGGTGGAGGTGTTTCACCAACTAAGCAAGCCTCACTCGTCTTGCCAAATACATTCTATATAATCTAATATAATGTTTGGTTGTATAGTTAATTCCTATTTTTGAATGGTTTTCGAACAATTTTTGTAGCTGGGATAAGAAACCTTTACGGAACAGGGAGACAGTGAAAGTACCACTTGTTGGACGTATGATTGAGGTATCTCGAAGAGCTTCGATGCTTTTGACACATGCTCTAATGGGGTTTGGAAAAGATCCCTCCATGTAAATTGCAGTGCGCTGTTTTTAAGTGTTTCAATTAGTTTTTACCATATTGTAAGAAATATATATATGTTTGCTTGAAAGTATGTAAAGATAATTATACAGTTGATCCATTTGGGCCTCCATAGACAATTTTCATCCTATTATTTAAGTTATATATAAATTTTAGCCAGTATTACTAAACTTGGGATATTACTTGTTGAATTTTTTTGTCGTTCGTCTTCGATCTATTATTCAAAGTTAAGGGGAGAGTTTGTTTTTTAAACAAAGTTCAGTATTTAAATGTTTTTCACTCTTTTTAAATATGATAAATAGTTATACATATTAATACTCGATTTTTTTAATTTAAATTTGATGAAGTAAAGTCACTTATCGATCCTCCATTTACAGAGTGATTGAGTAATCTCGTCAAATGTCAAGAATTGGATGGCAGCCACAATTCTTACTAGTTCTTCTCACAATTTTGTACAGTTGAAGATTATCATACATGTCTAATAAAAACTGATGGACTCTGACTACCTTTAGGCTTCAGGCAGAGCAAATAAAAGATCCCAAACTCATACTGCAGATCAACTTACGTAGGAAAAAAATATATTATGTGCCAATTAATTTGTGACATTCATGTATTGAGTCGTTAAATAGACCACATTATTATTCACTATAAATTATTCAATTTTAATTCAATGCCTCTTAACAACTTGAAATACAATGTATATGAATCAGAAATCAGACACATTTGGGACCCATTGAATGATCAGTGTTTGAAAAGTCTTCAAGAAAACTACAGTGTCTTTGTCCATGGACCACTAGTAGTAATTGTTACATGGACCTTGGGCTTAGCCTAAATTGAGAATTGCCCAAATTCATCTAAGGAAGTCCATGATCGATGTGAAATTCATTTCATTCATCACTCCTGACACGCCCGATTCTGTCACACTCACTAGAGCATGCATGCCCGACACAGTCTGGTCCCTTCAGAAGAAATAATTTATTTGATCGGGTCCCTCCTCACCAAAAAAAAGTACAATTGAGGAATATACTATTGTTGGGATGGAGGATGACTTAAACACCATAATTGAGCGCCTCATTTCCTAAACAGGCGAGTTAACTGTCATACCAATTTTTGGTAAGGACGGTATAGATAAGACATCTCTTATCAGAAAAGTTTATGATGATTCATCTATTCATTCTCGATTTGATAAACATGCATGGTAGGGTAAATATTTTCTTAATATAGCGTACTTATATGATTTACCCTTGTATTTATTGATACAAATTGAAAAAAGATAAAGTTAAGTACACTAGTCTTTAGTCCCCATTTAGAAAAAGGTATGGACATATAAAAAAAAAGTAAACCGTTTGGACAAAACCTCTTAACCTAATAATAACAAAGCAGAGAGATTAAATCAACTCCATAATTGCACATCTTCATTTTCGCAACTTATATTCTAATAATATTCATTAATCTTGTGTCTTTAACCCACATACTGTCCCCTCTTGGTTTCTTTTATCTCTCCTGTGAGCTTTCATCTTTTTTATTCACTTGTTGATTCGGACTCATAACTTAATCTTAGAGTTAGAGTGGAGAGTATTTACCATCCAAATCACTCTCGCTTGTCCTTTATCCTTTTTTATCGATCATCTATTTATGCTTTTATTTAGCTTTAGTTTGGTTGGGAAAAAATGTGTTTCTAATGGAATTTAGGCCTATCTCTGCCCTTTGGATAAGAGTTGGTTTCTCGTTTTAAGTAAAGGCTGTGGGGCAGGTTGATCTTCAATTTGTGTGTTTTTTATTGTACAAAATTCCAGACAGTGATATTAACTCAAGTAACTCAAATATTTTGACCTTTTATGATTATATAAATTTCAAAAGAAAATTTGTACCGAAAGTTTATTATATTGGTCCAACTTGAGACATGATGTCTTCATTATTCAACGTAAATTATTCTATTTTACAACAGGGTTCAATGTCTCTGACAAGTTGGAATCCAATGTCAATGTGTATGAATCAGAAATCTGAACGACTAATGTTTGAAAATTCTTTAGGAAAACTACAAGAGTTTCTTTATTTTTCATTAGAAGTTTATTATATTAATACAACATGACATATTATTATGTTTTTATTTTTCATTAGAAGTTTATTATACTAATACAACTTGACATATTATGTCTTTAATTATCTTTCATTTCTTTTTTCTCCATGAACTACAAGTTGTTGTGTGGCTGTGATGTAGATGTTAAATCGAAAATTGTCCAAATTCATGTAAATTATATGCACAAAACACTTAAGCCTAATAATAACAAAGCAGAGACATTATATCTGCAAGGCTCTCATCTTTTAGCAAACAAAGAGAAATGGCTTATGCTGCTCTTTCTTCACTTATGTATACTTTAGAACAACTCTTGAAACCTAATCAATCTTTCGTTTGTCGATGCTCTACACAACAACATCTTCAATCTCTCTATCAAAATCTTTCTGCTCTGCAACTTTTCCTTGACAGTACTACCACAAAGGATATTGAAACTCTTAAGTTTATAGAAAAGAGGATCAGAGATGTAATATACAAAGCAGAAGATAAAGTTGATTCAAGCCTAAGAAGCATCATTCTAGCTGATTGCACAGAGAGTAGAGAAGGGGCTTGTAAATTCTTCGAGGAAGAATTGGTAAAAGTGGAAAAAGATGTTGATTCTCTCGAGCAAGAGGTGATGCAGATTGAGTTTAACAAGCATGGAAGCAGATCCGCAGAACTAGCAGCAGCTCCCTCCTCACCAGAAAAAGGTAAAATTGAGGAAAATACTATTGTTGGGATGGAGGATGACTTCAACACCATACTTGATCGCCTCACTGCCCAAACACACGAGTTAACTGTCATACCAATTTTTGGTATGGGAGGTATAGGTAAGACAACTCTTGCCAGAAAAGTTTATGATGATTCTTTTATTAGTTCTCGATTTGATAAACATGCATGGGTCACTCTCTCCGAAGAATACAATGAGAGACAAATACTTCTTGAACTTGCCTCTTCAATTACTGTAAGCAATCAAGAAATGAGTGATGATCAACTAAGGGAGATTGTGCGCAGAGGTCTGAAGGGTTGGAGATTTCTAATTGTCATAGATGATATTTGGAGTACTGAGGCATGGGACCAAATGCAAAGAATATTTCCAAATGATGACAATAAAAGCAGAATTCTATTAACCACTCGGCTCAAGTATGTTGCTGATTATGTCAATTGTCCTGATTTTCCGCCTCATTGTAAGTCTTTTCTCACTCTAGATGATAGTTGGAATCTATTTACTGGAAAATTGTTCAGAAAAGATGTGTGTCCTCCTCTACTTGTAGAAATAGGGAAGCATATTGTACAACAATGTCAAGGGTTACCTCTCTCGGTTATTGTCGTTGCGGGACTTCTTGGAAAAATGGACCCAACGTATGATAATTGGAAGAAGGTTGAGGAAAATCTGAGCTCATTCTTTGGTACGGTGTCCGAACGGTGCCAATCAATTCTTTCTCTGAGCTACAATTACTTACCCCAATATTTGAAGGCTTGTTTTCTCTATGTTGGAGGTTTTCCAGAAGACAGAGAGATTAATGTTTCCAAGTTGATTAAGCTATGGATTGCTGAGGAATTTGTAAGGGGAAGAAGCAATAAAAGGTTAGAAGTGGTGGCAGAGGAGTATCTAGAAGAGTTAATTGATAGAAGTTTAATGTTGGCCGGTACACAAGGGGATAATGGAATGATGAGAACTTGCAAAATTCACGATCTTCTTCGCCAACTATGCCTAAGAGAAGCTCATACTGAAAATGTTGTGCATGTCATGAATGCAAATGTTTCCATCTCCTTAGAAGCCATAGATGATCAACGGCGACTGATCGTTCAGTTTGATCTTGAAGAGAAGCAATTTTATCCTACAAGGCATAGCAGTGGTATTACAAGTATAACCCGCACCTTTATTTCAAGGCAAACATATTTTCGAAAAAGGAATTTATCCATTGTTTCACAGTTGAAGTTGCTTAAGGTGTTGGATGTATTTTCAATTGAATACGATTTCTCTTGTGTAATACCTCAACTTGTACATTTGAGATATGTTGCTGCAAAAATTGAGGAAACTCTTTCACTAGCCAAACTGAGAAATCTACAGACCATAATTTTTGAAAGTTTTCTAGGGACAAAGTTGAAGCACCCCGTAGATATCTGGACAACAACGGAGATTAGACATGTGGATATTAGATCACCACTCTATATATCCAATCCTGTTGAGGCAGAAAATAATAGTAGTGGAGAACATCCTCTGTTTCTCAATAACTTGCAAACACTAACTCTTCACTTATCTCCTTTTGCTGTGGAAATCATAAGACGAACTCCCAATCTAAAAGAACTAAGGATTTTACATGAAGCTAAGCATTCTGATGGGCTTGCTATTCTTGATTCTCTCAGCCTTCTTGAGAAACTGGAGAAACTACACCTAGAAGCACAACAAACCGTTAACCCGATCATGATTTTCTCAGGGGATATTTTCCTTCCGAATCTCAAGGAGTTGACATTATCATCTACTTATATACCATGGGAAGCTATGAATTTACTGGCTAATTTACCCAATCTTGAGGTGCTCGATTATTCTGCATTCGATGGAACAGATTGGAGACTAAATGAAGATGTTGTGTTTCGCAAATTAAAACTTCTATTACTGCATAGGTGTAGAGATCTGCAAAAGTGGGAAGCTGGTAGTGATAATTTTCCAATGCTTGAGAAACTAATGATGTTTTGGTTGGATAAACTGGAGAAGATTCCGGAGAGTATTGGAGATATAATGACACTAAAACTGATCCAAATAGAATATTGCAGCTTTGGTGTAGAGACAAGTGCAGAGAAAATTAAACAAGAGCAACAAAGCTTGGGAAATTATGAGCTTCAAGTTCAAATTACTCCTATGGTATGTTAAAATTCCATCATTCATTATTTAAATACTCTTCTTAGTGTTTTTTTACTCCATCCAATTCATATTACTTCGATCTGATACTAAAAAAATAGTTATTTTTTACTGTTGACAACATTTACTAGAGATTTGTAAGCATGCTAGAGGGATATGCATTGTTGTCTCTCTACATTTTTTGATACAAATTCTACATCTTATGATACACTTTCTTCTTTTATTTTCCCAGCTCTCTCACGTCTGGCAACAGCAACAGCAGGACCAGCAAGTCCGGCAACTCCAGCAAACGCTACTTCAGTCGGAGCGAGCATTAATAGCGGCTGAGTGTTTTATTCGACATTCTGATAAATGGTCTTAAAAACTTGTGTTTGTTCAAAGTTCAATTTTTGATGGTGCCTCTAAATATTCCTAATTAGACATTTATTTATCTTTATTTAGTTGGAACATTTTGAAGCTACTTTTGCTTGTATTTATATATCTTAAGAAATCCGTTTAATAGGTACAAATTGTTAATTGAGAACTTCGTTACTTAAAACAGGTAGAATCCAAAACACACAAACTTACATGTCCTAATTCCACAAAGTTGAATCACTGTGGAATGAAATGCTAACATAGAATTCTATCATATGGTTTTAATGCAGTAACACACAAATTAAACTTCATGTCCAAATCCAACTCACCTTAGCCTCCCACATCATGTCCGTGATAGAGGCCACCATCATCTTGGTCTGAATATCTTCATTTTTTTACCTGATCTCTCCTAGTAATTCATTTCAAAAAGAATGATTATTTCCTTTTTTAAACAACTCTTTTAACTCTTAGTTTTCACTTACATGTTTAAAATAACAAGATAAAACGACATTTTGATCCATTCTACATATACTTAGTCTAAGATCACAAGATTCAAAAGTCTTGTTTATTTTTGAGAAAAGAGTTGATATACACCTTAACTTTGTCATTAGAGTCGATATACCCCTCGTTATCAAAGTGGCTCATATATAGGGATGATAACTGGGTGGGGCGGATACAGAGCAAAACGGGGCGAATACAGAGCGGAGCGGGGTGAATACAGAGCGGAACGGGGCGAATACAGAGTGGAGTGGGGTGAATACAGAGCGGAGCGAGGTGGGACGGGTTGAAACAAATTTTAAATTTAACTTTATACTATTTTCCTCTACTATTACACAAATGACTCACATATACTATTTTCCTCTAAAGGAAGGGAAAGAAATCAATTTTAAATTTATTTTTTAGAACTTTTTATTTAAAAAAATATTCATATGGGGTATATTTGATTCTTCACACACATATTTTTTTCGACTTTTTTTATTCAATGGCTAATTTTAATTTAGTATTTTGATGATAAAATTTATGTTTTTAATAACTTTCTTGTAAAATTTATCATATATATCTTTTTTTTTACAAATACAAAAAATAAATTATAATATCTAAAAAAATATTAGTTTAAAACATTTCTCTTACCTTTTTCTGTTTTTTCATTCACATTTTTTTTTAATTTCTCACGTAAATTTTTTTAAAAAAATAAGAAACTCAAATAATGATAATCAAAGAAATAAAAAAAAATGTGTAGAAAAGATCATATATATACCCCTACATGTATATTTTTAAAATTTTAAATCAAATAAATAAATTTAAAATCATTTTTTTCACTCCCGATAAGTAAAAAGTTATATGCGAACCACTTTTATAATGGTAGAGTATATGTGAGTCATTTTTATAATGGTGAAGGTGTATGTGCAGTGGCGGATCTATGAAGGGTTGTGGGGGGGCCACGCCACCCCCGAACTTCGACGGAAACTCTATATATACATAAGTATATATATATAATATTTATATAAATATAAAGCGTGTCACCCACAGAACAAAATTGGTTTGTGGTGCCATGGTAGGAGGGCAACTTTAGAAGGTTGATGTTGCGGGTTTGAATCTCATTTGTACCTATTTTTTTGAGAAATTTGCTACATACGTTTTTTAAGAAAAAAAAAAACTCCAAGCACGTTTTTTTAAGGAAAAACAGCTGGCACAATTTTTATTTTTATTTTTATAATTGTTATTGACTTAAATTAAATTAATTACATTATTACTCTTTTGACTTTTCTTTTATTTGATTAAATACTCAATGAAAGTGTAATATCTTATTATTTATATTTTATTGATTGATTTATGATATATATCGAAAAGACGAATAGTTCAATCAAATATAAAATTAATTTAATCGATAAGTCTATTTGGCACCCACGAACTCTAAATCCTGGATCCGCCACTGTGTATGTGAGCGTCCCTTCGAGGACATCCGATAAAAAAAAGTGTATGTGAGCCACTTTTATAACAAGAGGTATGTCCGACTTTTTTGCTTTACTCATTTTAAACTCTGTATCAAGTCAAAACGAGATTATTTACTCGACCCTCATGACACGTGTGATAAGCACGTGTTTAGATAATCCCAAAATTCTTTTCACATTCGAGATTATCATAAACAACGACTCAAACTAATATTCCTGGAAACTTCTTCAGGAACAAGTCAATCCAATCCAGGGAGTATAAATTCATCTTCTCCTTTTGGTTCAACAATCTTCTCAGCAATTCCTATTTACGCGCATTTGTATTGAATCTCCGTTTCCCAATTCAATCGGAAACCCTAAATCTCTGCGAAAGGTTCTAGAAATATGAGGAGAGTTTTCGGTGCGAAGAAACAAACGGAACCTCCTCCTTCCATTCAAGATGCATCCGATCGGGTACGTACTTGTAATTACTCCAATGCAATGGTCAACTTTGCGTATTGTATAATCTCTTTTAGAAATTTGTAGTTTGATTGTGTGTAATACAGCTGTTTTATCAATTATGAGAAAAAATGACTACGTACAATTTGACTAATTTTCGTTTGGAGCTAAATTGAATTAGATTAATTCCGTATTTGAAATTTAGATGTTTGAAAACTATAGGAAAAGATTATTTAAGTTTTAGTTTTTTTTCATATTATTGAAAAAATATAGTTGATCAAAGTCCATATATTAAACGAGACAAGTAAAAGTGAACCGAAGGAGTATTGAGCAATTTTTGAATTTTGAGGTATGGAGATTGTATTAATTAGACTGATGACAATTGTATAGGTAATATATATATATATATATATATATGAAAAATTTTATAAGAAAAATTGGGTAGGGGATTACAAAGTGGGGAATTAAACCCTCGCCAATAAGGCAAATGAATTGAGCTACTGAGATTGTTAATATACAAAAACTTAAAATATGGTGAGTTAGATTTCTATTGTTTTTTTAAGAAATTCTCTTTCCTAGATTATGGATCACTGGAGTGAGTTTTGTAGTGTTTAATGAAATGTTGGACTTCTATATCATTGTGATATTGCTAATTCTCTGCACGTGATATCTGATTTTAGTATTGGTTCTTATTTGTACAGATCAATAAAAGAGGTGACACCGTGGAGGAGAAAATCAAGAAGCTTGATGTTGAACTTGCAAGATACAAGGAACAGCTAAAGAAGACCCGGCCAGGTCCAGCTCAAGATGCTGTAAAATCTCGAGCAATGAGAGTTTTGAAGCAAAAAAGAATGTGAGTCTATCCTTTTTTAAGAGTACAGTGATGTTTAAAGTTTATGGTTGAGCATCAAATTGACTGCTTTGTGGATGAATGTCTAGTCACGTTATAGGTCAAATTACATTTAGCTTCTGAGATGATTGCGCTATTTAAAGACATCTAATCAGTGCTCCTTTTCTCTCTCTCTTGATTATAAAGAAATTTTGTTGCAGGCGAATAAGGTGCTGAAAGCACCAAACAAATACATCTGTGGAGATACCTTGATGAACCATATTATGAGGGAGACAACATTGTGTTTAATGGCTTTTTAAATAATGTCTAGTTCTTCATAGAGTTTGTGGTTACTTCATAAAAAAACGAAATTGGAAGAGTTTGTGATTGAATTGAGGATTGGTCCTTATAACAGTTCCTACTTGGAAATTGGGATACTCACGGAGTTGCAACCAGCTAAAAAAAAGAGATTTCTTGTAAAAAATACTAGCCCTGTTGAGTTCATAATGAGAATATTTTCATCGATAAATCTTTTTTGATCCTATGTATTGTACTTAAAAGAGAAAAAAGAGACGCTGACTTCTGAGGTTATAGGCGATTAATCTTAACTTCACCTAGATTGTACCTGAAGCCAAAGTAGATAGAACACACCCACTAATGTTGGTGAATATTTTGTTCTCCTTGCAACAATTCTCTAAGTTTTGCTTGTGTCTGTGGTGAAAATTATTTTCTCAAGCACCGCTTAGGCATAGTTTTTGCCAAATTGGGAAAAATTCTTGCTTGTTTGACAAGCTTATAGTTTATATGTTGATCTATTGTTTCCAATGCATAATCTCTTTTGTTCGAATATTCAACAGGTATGAAGGCCAACGTGACATGCTCTTCAATCAGACGTACAACCTAGATCAAGTTTCATTTGCAGCTGAGGGAATTAAAGATGCTCAGCAAACAGTATGTTCTATGGAGTTCATGCTTTTTTCAGATACCTAGTTTTCTCCCATTTCATTTATGAAATGCCTAAATCCAAAAGCTGTTATATGCATTATACCTGTATGAAACTTGTCCGTTGTTAGTTCTGATATTCCAAATATCTGAAAGCGTCATTGGACCTTTTTGTGTTTGAAGTTCATAATACTTATTGGGTGTTAGCATGCAAAGGTTAGCACTCTTCTTTTAGGGAAAAAAAAGAATACAAGTATCATTTTCTTTACCAATCCTTGGTAGTTAATTTGAAACTGTTTTAACTTGAGTTTGATAAAGAGAATTTTGGATTGTCACTCACAAATCTGATTCACTGATACGTTTATCAAGTGAATGTTATTTGTGGAAATGAATGGCTGCTATTTTAGACTATTAAACTCATGGTCATCCTTTGTAATAAAAAATTATTAGTTTTTTCGAGTCATTTGGGCTACATCAATTCATCGTGAAGTGTATCTGCTTCTACATAGCACCCCACAGGGCACAGTCAAGGCTTGTCAGACAAAGCTAACTGTGTAACTTAATTGGAACCTGCTGCCTACCTCCCCACAGATGGGGAGGACAACCCATTTATCACAAAACAGATTTCTTTTTATGTCCAAGAGTTTATGTACTCTGTTAGATCCCATGTTGGAAATTTGTTATTTGAAGGCACAACTGAACCATTGGAATCATTCATATACAGTTGAATTTGCCACTAATAAGTTGGTTTTGTTTTTGTTCCAGATGTCAGCTTTGAAGTCCGCAAACAAAGACTTAAAAGGAATGATGAAGACAGTGAAGATTCAAGATATAGATGTATGTCTC